AAATTTCTACTAAATGGCCGCTAGGAATATTGCTCTCTACCTCTAACGGCCACTTACAAAGCCTCCTATGACCTTGCCAAGTAACTGGTAAAAGGAAAATTTTTAAAAATTCCCCAAAGATCTTGCTTTTGCGCAAGAGATGCCCAGGTCCTCCGGAGACAGAATCACATGAGTTTGAGGGCGTCGGAACAGGAACTTCCATTAACCACCATTATGAAACCTACTGGCCAGACACCAAGGCTGCACATGTTGACTTCGGCAGTTGCTCCACAGGTGGCCCAGCGGCAGAAATCTCACCACCTTGCTGGCTGCTACCAGGACCACGGGGAGCGTGGTAGAGGGATAGGAAAACAGGAGTGCCAGCATTACCTTTCACATTACCCTGCCTGGCACAGGGGTGGGTAGATCCCGAGGTGGGGAGAGGGGGAGCCATGTGTAATTTAATGCCCTATCACTGCCATTGGGAAGTAGGTTCAAGACAAGAACCTTGGGTTCTCACCTAGAAACTTTAAATGATTTCTCATTTCCCTTGACATGAAGACCTTCTCAGGGAAAATGCTTATGAGCCCTTAAGTTCCTTCTGAGCAAAGAAGCAGAATGAGGTAGGGACTAGGGAGCAGAAGAGTGGAACACTGTTCACCACCACCCCTTCAATGTAGACCCACTTTCTTATTCTTCATGAAGAAAAATATTGGAAATCCCAAATACCTTTCTAGACATTCAGGCAAAGTTGATTTTTCCAGCATTTGTCAACTGATTGTTCTCATGGGAGATGGTGAGGCCAAGAAAGGCGGGGATATTGTACCAGAAAGCACAGGTATTAACTTTGTGTACCCTCTGGTATTAGAAGATCTTCGAGGAACCTCCTCCCTCGCAGTAACGGTAACCATAGTAACAATAGCAGCTATCATTGAGCAGGTTAATCACGGGGTGAGGGCTGGACCAGTTGTTCTCAGTCGCATCTCTCCTGGCATTGGGACCATCTGTACCTTCCTTGTTTACTGGTTGCCCTGCTTATTGTGTAGCTCCCTCTTAAGAATGTAAGGTCACCTCTGATCACCCAAGACCCAGAACAGCACTACCAGCCTAGTAAGGTCAATGTCATCATGGATTTGTCAAGAAGATATCTCCACCCTTACAGTCTGGTTCCCATTTTAGAGAGGAAGAGAAATCAAGGCTCAGGGTGTCTGAGGAAGGACGTTTCAGGTTTGGGCTCTTCAGCTGTCACTCTGTGGGTTTAGAGCACTTTGTTGTTTCAGAAGTCCCAGGCCTTGCATCCTTTACAATGTCCCTTTGGAAAGACCCGCTTTCGCTGCCACGTCTCACCCAGCAAACATCTCCCACGTATGGCTCTTTTTTTAAAAAATATTTTCTTAAATTAATGAATTTATTTATTTTTGGCTGCATTGGTTCTTCGTTGCTGCACACTGGCTTTCTCTAATTGTGGCGAGCGGGGGCTACTCTTTGTTGCGGTGCGTGGGCTTCTCATTGCAGGGGCTTCTCTTGTTGTGAAGCACGGGCTCTGGAGAGCAGGCTTAGTAGTTGTGGCACATGGGCTCAGTAGTTGTGGCGCATGGGCTTAGCTGCTCCGTGGCATGTGGGATCTTCCTGGACCAGGGTTCGAACCTGTGTCCTCTGCCTTGGCAGGCGGATTCTTAACCACTGCGCCACCAGGGAAGTCTCCACGTATGGCTCCTTAACAGGTACTTTTTTGTTGTTTATTTTTAAGTTGAAGCTGGTTTTACTGTTATAGAAGAATACTTCGATTATGAATACAAATTCAGCAAACAGTCTGAGTATCTAAAACCCCAAGGTAGGGGCTGCGGGCTCTCGCACTGTGACAGGGTGATTTTGCAGGGAGTACCCTAAAAGGCTTCTGTGGGGTGGGTTATGTGTTCGGGACTCAGTCAGTGCTGGTTCCCCCAGCTGTCACCACAGAACACAGGCAACACAAGCTCCAAATGGCTACCAGAACAATCTCCTCCTTAGTCTGTGCCCGAGGCTCTTGGTTGTACTTTCTGCATAAGGAATACAGATACCATTCCCCAGCTATGACCATGGAAAAGGGAGTGGGAACTCCAACAGAGGCTTCTGAGTTTCTTATCTAATAATTTATAACCCTGATCAATTAGTTTTTGCACAAAATAATGGCAAGCATACTCGGGTCTCAGTTTACTGAATGGACAGCAACAGCTAAACATACTCAATTCTGATACTAGTAAGTGAAAAATAATACAAAACTTTCAAACATACCAGGTAAATGCTTCCAAATTATATTTCAAGTAAACAGGACTTAAGCAGGAAAAGTTCAGTAATTGTGCACATGTAAACTCCAGAGTGAAGATACTGTAGCATTTGGTTCAACAAAATCAGAAATATTAAAGTAATTAGCCCTAGGCAACACAGAAGGCAGAGCTGTTTCCAATTCAGATCTGTCTAGACTATCAACTAAAAATGCAAAATTTAACCTAAACATATAAGTTTATGCAAAAAAGGGAACTTATAAACACTGAACAACTAGGGAGAGCAAATATCTAAAAGCCACCCTGAGTTAGCAATGAGGCTCGTATCAAGGCCATGTTTAGTGCATTAGCCCGCCTTACCCAGGAGCTGTGTTTAGGCCCATACTTCAGTACAACGTTTGGAGGGGAGAGGTTTAACCTGAGTCAATCCAGAGCTTATGAAACTCTGAATCTGAGCCCTCGAGGCAAGGATCGTGTGTCTCCCATTAGGGGCAGGGCCAGAGACATTATCAGTGCCTGACAAAGGAGAAGGGTGAGGTAATGCCAGCCCAGGGCGCCGTCTGGGTAGCCTGCCCCACCTGCCTGCCCGCGCAGCGCCTGCCTCCCAGCTAAGGTCTCCACTCCCATCCATCCTGGGCGGTGCTCAGATTAGCCAAGGTCCATGCCATGGGCTTGTGACTCCACTGCTGGAGATTTCTTGAGCCCAAAGAGTATAATGAGGCCTTTCACTGTCTTTCTTGGTGAGGATGGCTGGGAGGGCGTGGTCCGCTCACTGTGGGGTTTACTGTGTGCTCTTAAGGACTGTTACCAATGGCATAGGAAGTCCCTCGGTCCCCTCCACAGGCTCTACCAGCGCAGACGAGGGATCAAAACCAGTGGGAGGTGAGGGGGTGGTAAGAAAGCAATTCTTCCCCAAACACACACACACACTCTCTCTCTCTCTCTCTCTCTCTCCTTCTCTCTCCTTTCTCTCTCTCTCTCTCTCTCTCTCTGCAGTTGTGTTCTTGGTCATTTCCTAGGTACCCAAAGCAAAACCCAAACTCTGAGCATGTGGTCCAATATTATAAATTTATATATTTTTAATATTATGTATTTAGAATACATTATTATATTATAAATTTAATTATATGATCTTCCTCAGTCTAGCTCACAACACACCTTCCTCCCAGTCTCCTTGGCTGGGAGGCTGAGAGGTAAATTGCTGTCCTGGGCAGCCACACAAGCCACCAATTCAACCAGTCTCCATAGGCAGTGAAGGCGAACCATCTGGGGGAGCTGCCGCTGGTTGCGGAGGGGCGCACGGGATCCTGCATTTCTAACAGCTCCGCAGGGATGCTGGCCCTGTGCAGGGAGCTGTAGGCACGAGGCACCTGGAAATCCCGACTGGCCCAGCCTGTCCCCTCGCTCTCACTTCTCAGGCCCCCACCCCTCTTCCCTCTGAAGGGTGAAAAGGCCCTTGGATTCCCAGTTCTGCCCCAGCGTCAGGAATCCACCTGGCAACCCTCCCCTGTTCTCACCCCAGCAGATGCTTCATCCCCCTTCCAGACAGGCAGCAATACAACGATATATTAGTCTTCCCCCCCACCCCCGCAAAAGGGAACATCTTGCCTTGGGAAGCATAGTCTTTCCCCTGAACATTAAAAATCCTGAAGACACTCTACTTTTACAATTAAGAATAATTTTGCTACATTACATCCCTCTTACCACCTAAAAAAGTGTGTGTTAGGGGGAAGGAGGGTGAATATATACTTTTGAACTTTTTGGAAGGAAGAGGATAAGGAAACACACAGATTCTTTGAAAATATAACACACGAGGTCCACATTAAAACTTTTCGCCTAAACATCACAGTCCCCATAAAGAAGTTAAGAACCTAAAACTTTTTGTCATTTGTCAAATAACAGATTTCTAAGATTTGAAAGCAAAAAAAAAATCCCTCCCCCCAACAAACACCTAAAAAGAAATGTAGATTTTGTGCTTCAACCTCAGGGGTGAGGAATGCCAGTGCCCTCTCATTGTTGCATTAATGTGGCAAAACAAACAATTAACAAGAAATTCTGGCAGAGTTCTCAGCAAGGTACAAGTTCAGACAATGGCTGAAGGCATTTCTTTTTGGTGCAGAAATGGAGTTGCTCTAACTTGAATGAGGGTTAAGAAGCTCTTTGCCATGCACAGATTTTGAAGGAGCTGGAAATTCTGCAGGAGTAAAACTTCATTGTAAGTTAAAAAAAACCCTGAAGTACATTTTTAATATCTGGAAAGTAAAGAAAGTTTGTTGAAGAAATGTTTAAAGCAAGTAAGCAAAAAGAATGGGACTTCCCTGGTGGCGCAGTGGTTGGGAATCCGCCTGCCAATGCAGGGCACGCAGGTTCGATCCCTGGTCCGGGAGGATCCCACATGCCAAGGAGAAACTGAGCCTGTGGGCCACAACTACTGAGCCTGCGCTCTAGAGCCCGCAACCCACAACTACTGAGCCCGTGCGCCACAACTACTGAAGCCTGTGCACCCTAGAGCCCACACGTCACAACTACTGAAGCCCGCGCACTCTAGGGCCTGCATGCTTCAACTGCCGAGCCCACGTGCTACAACTACTGACGCCGGCGCGCCTAGAGCCCGTGCTCCGCAACAAGAGAAGCCACCGCAGTGAGAAGCCTGCGCACTGCAGCGAAGAGTAGCCCCCACTCGCTGCAACTAGAGAAAGCCCGCATGCAGCAACAAAGACCCAATGCAGCCAAAAAAATAATAATAATAAATACTACCTGTGATCCACCACCTAGAGATCACCACTGCCGATAAAGCAACCTGCAATCACAGGGGTCTTAGCTGGACAAGGCTGAGGACGGATACCTTGATATACACATCATCCCCTCCCCATGCTTGGACTCATCTGGAAATTTGCAGAGTCCAGAACCATCATGAAAGATTCCAACACCTACAGAAATGTCTGATGGTCTGGGGAGAAGAGCCAAAATCACCTTCAGAGAGGACGACTGGTAAGGCAATCTTAACAAAATAAAAGAAAAGGAGAAGTGTTTCCAGAAATAACCAAAGCTGCACCTGGACCCAGTCCCTGCCACAAGATCATGCGGCAAAACTGAAAGAACTCTATCACCAGAGGCCAGCGACTCTACTATGGAAATCCCCACCTCGGGCTCCGGATGGGGGGAAGGTGTTTCCTCTGTTGGATGTCAAAGGCAGTCCCGGCCACGGCAGGGGCTGGAGTGAAGCAGCACTAAGTCAAACATGGCCAACTCAGCAGCCTGCTATAGGCAGTAATAATGTAATTGTCAAGAGGGGCAGCAACGGAAGTGGCTGGAGTGGAGGAACTGTAGAGATGCAGGTGGTGGTTTACAGCCCAGACTCTGGATCCAGACTGCCCGAGTTCAAATCCAGACTTTGTCAAGAGCTAGGGGCACCTGGGTAAATTAATCTCTCTATGCCTCTGTAAAGGGGGATGTGATAGCAGTACTTCTTTCATAGGGTTGGTTGATTAAAGAGTGTTAGCCATGAAATGCATGTAGACCAATACTGGCCACATGTGAGCACCATTTAAGTTATTGGGTATTTATTTTTTCCTACACTTTCTAAAATAAGTCATATTAATTGTACCACTAGAAACTCTATTGCTTGATTCCTCCCCAGGCCCCATCAGCTTGTCACTTGTCCTTTATCTTTGGCTCTTCCTGCCAAATGGCACAAACTCATCTCAATATGTACTCATATATACTAGAGTGACCAACTGTCCAGGGTAGGACTTTCAGTGCTACAACTAGGGCAGTGCCGGGCAAACCAGAATGGTTAGTCACCTTAATATACACATAAAAGTATAAGTAAGAAAACAAGAGTCATGCCTGTAACACCACAGCTCAGAGGTGACCACACCAGGACTTAACAGGCTGGTGCAGTTCCTTCCGGTCCTTTTGCTATACATGTTTCAGGCAAAATTTGGATCCTGATATGTAGATACAGAGTTCCGTATCCTGTTTTCACCCAATGCTGTATTCTCCATATTATTAGTAATTCCCTGAAAGTACTGCTTTCTGAGGCTGCATGCTATCTGGTCATACGGATGTTCCACGTGGCTTACCCACTCTCCTAGGCTCTCTTATCGACATTTTCAACTCACATAACTTTAAACACCACTGCCCATAAGTGGGTTTTCACCTGATTATTATCTTTAACTTTCTAGAAGAAGGCTTTTGGATAAAGATGAACTTTAAAAAAAAATGTACTGATATATATATATCACCGAATTGCTTTCCAGAAAGGGTACACTAAATTCTACTCCCAACAGCAGTATATGAAAAATGCCCCCTCACTAAAGCCATACCAGCATTAAAAAATACTTTTCTATTTGATAATTAATAACAGTTGAAAAAAAATGCTACTGTTTCATTTGCATTAGTTTACTAATTGGGGGAATAACTGCTGTGAAACTATTATGTTTCTGCTGCATTTCTTTAATAATTCGTGGGGTTGACTATTTTGTTCCATGTTTAGCCAACTACACTGTTCTCTTTTAACCAGTTAGTTTGGTATTTTTTAAAGTATTAAGTTGTCTATTTTTCTCCTGGTTTCCTTAGTGTCTCTTTTTGTAATTTCCTGAACTCTTCAGAGTTTTATATTAACTCTATATATCACAAGTGAGGCAAACTTTTTTTTTGCAATTTTGTCTGTTAAATTATCTGTGCTATCATACAAACATTAGTGATATCAGTGATTTCCTCTGTAATTTCTTCCAGTACGTCTATGTGTGGGCAATCCTTTTCATAGAGATGAGTTAAACATCTACCTATGGGTTCTTCTCGTTTATTTTTTAAGGTTTTCATCTTTTAAATATTTATTTCATAGTTTTGAAATAAAATGTGAGGTGAGGCTCTACATTCGAAGGAAATCATAAAACCCATGGTACAATGGAGTTACGCTGAAATGATGAAATTGTTAAGAAATTAAATCTGCAGGATACAAACTGGAGATTTGCATGAGATCTACTCTCAGTAATGAATCAGCTCATTAAAAAGCAGTACTCAGGCATATACCCAGAGAAAACCGTAATTCAAAAAGATACATGCACCCCAATGTTCACAGCAGCACTATTTACAATAGCCAGGACATGGTAGCAACCTAAATGTCCATCAACAGAGTAATGAATAAAGAAGATGTGGCACATATATACAATGGAATATTACTCAACCATAAAAAGAAACGAAATTGAGCTATTTGTAATGAGGTGGATAGACCTAGAGTCTGTCATACAGAGTGAAGGAAGTCAGAAAGAGACAAATATCGTATGCTAACACATATATATGGAATTTAAGGGGAAAAAAATGTATGAAGAACCTAGGGGTAAGACAGGAATAAAGACACAGACCTACTAGGGAATGGACTTGAGGATATGGGGAGGGGAAGGGTAAACTGACCACATGTAAAACAGATAGCTAGTGGGAAGCAGCCGCATAGCACAGGGAGATCAGCTCGGTGCTTTGTGACCGCCTGGAGGGGTGGGATAGGGAGGGTGGGAGGGAGGGAGACGCAAGAGGGAAGAGATATGGGGACATATGCATATATATAACTGATTCATTTTGTTGTAAAGCAATTATACTCCAATAAAGATGTTAAAAAAAAAAAAGCAGTACTCAGGCATATACCCAGGGAAAACCATAATTCAAAAAGATACATGCACCTCAATGTTCACAGCAGCACTATTTACAATAGCCAGCACATGGTAGCAACCTAAATGCCCATCGACAGACTAATGGATAAAGAAGATGTGGTACATATGTACAATGGACTATTACTCAGCCACAAAAAGTAATGAAATTGGGTCATTTGTAGAGACATGGATGGAACTAGAGACTTTCATACAGAGTGAAGTAAGTCAAAAAGAGAAAAAAAAATCATATTAACGCATATATGTGGAATCTAGAAAAATGGTATAGATGATCCTATGTGCAAAGCAGAAATAGAGACACAGATGCAGAGAACAAATGTATGGATATCAAGGGGGGAAGGGGAGGGTGGAAGGAATTGGGAGATTGGGATTGACACATGTATACTATTGATACTATATATAAAATAGATAACTAATGAGAACCTACTGTACAGCACAGGGAAGTACACTTAATGCACTGTGGTGACCTGAATGGGAAGGAAGTCCAAAAGGGAGGGGATGTATGTATATGTACGGCTGATTCATTTTGCTGTGCGGTAGAAACTAACACAACATTGTAAAGCAACTATACTCCAATAAAAATTAATTAAAAAGAAAAAGAAAAGCAGTACTCGACAATGAACAGGATCAAGCAGAACGTGCCAGGGACACCCCATCCTCCTCCTTTGCCAGTCCTAGTCTTCCTAAGTAAGTGTTGTTTTAGTGGATTGTCAGGAGTTGAGGGGAAAAGATGAGGGATGAAAGCAGAGGGCAGTACAATGACAAGGGCAGGCTGGGGGTCCCTCAGGCCCTTCTGGCTCCAGAACCCAAAGAATGAGAGATTCTACCTGCTACTAAATAACAGGAAATATAAGGAGGAGCTTGTTAGGAGTTTAAAACAGATCTCTCCTTTGCAAAAGGCAAAAGATCACAGAACTAGCTATTGTTCTTATACAAATTTATTGCTACAGAGATCAAAACAAGGCAGCATTATGTTATTCAAAATATGCCGAGGGCTTCCCTGGTGGCGCAGTGGTTGAGAGTCTGCCTGCCGATGCAGGGGACACGGGTTCGTGCCCCGGTCCAGGAAGATCCCACATGCCGTGGAGCGGCTGCGCCCGTGAGCCATGGCCGCTGAGCCTGCGCGTCCGGAGCCTGTGCTCCGCAACGGGAGAGGCCACAACAGTGAGAGGCCCGCGTACCGCAAAGAAAAGAAAAGAAAAAAAAAATGCCGAATATAGCATCCAGCCACCTCTTAGCCGCCTGCACAGAAATGCAGTCCTATCGTGGCAAGCACACTATGTGGGGAATGTGCACCTCTCCCCAGCCTGCCCTTCCACCTGGGTCTCCAACCCCAAATCCAGAGCTGAAGAGTGCGGTTTTACTCAATACCTATTTGTTGAATAATCACAGTTTTTTCCTTCTTAATAATCATAATAAAGGGATTTACCAGATATGAAAAGAGATCTTTTGGTGTCTCCTGATCTGTGGTCCCCTTCTCCAAACAATCATCTCAAATATCCTCTTGTACTGGGGAGCATATGGACTATTGTTTTTGAAGAAGTCATTCATTCATTTATTCATTCATTCAATAATTGTTATTGCTCACTGACAGGCTACTCGTGATAATGGGAGCAGAAAGCCATGGTGCAGTCAGAGATGTCTGGGTTCCAGATCCCAGCTCCCGCACTTGCCACCTGGGGGATGATCTTGATAAGCTACTTACCTCTGAACCTGGGCTCATCTCTAAAATGGGTTTAAAACCACACAAGGCTACTGTGAGGACAGTAGAGTGTGTGAGAAGTACAAGAAGGCAAGAAAATTGTAAAATGGCAGAGTCAATAGTGGCTGCTACCTGGGGAAAAAAACAAAAAGCTTTCCCCGTGTCACATGCATGTGTGGATCAGATGTCTCCTCCGATGTAAATTTTTTAAAGTCCAGCGAACAATTTAAATTCTCATTTCCTCTCAGGTAGCTAATCTGCTAGAAATAGATCAACCACAGTTCAACAACTAAGCAATTACACATCATTAGGCTCGGAAAGATGATTCCGCAGATGAACCCCTGCTTTTAAAATTCACAGGCGTTCTGGCAAAGTGTGCTGCTTTTAGAGGCTGGTCATGGATGGGAGGTGGCTGCTGGCACCCTGCACAGGCTTCTGTCAGGAAGCCGCTGTGAATGGGCACGAACAGGGCTTAATGGACCTCCTGTTGCAAAGCAGCTTCAATAAACCCCCAAACTGAGGATCACCTCTGAGCCAATCTGACTGAAGACCACACACTATCTGAAGACTGACTTCTTATCAACGTGTCTCACGGACATTCAACAAACATTCACCAGACCCACTTGAACTTGAAGAAAGAAGCACACTCCCCTAGTGTTTACGGAACCCGCATGGGGGCAGGGCTCCTTCCTCTGTCACTTCTGTCCATTTCTGATAGCAGGCTTGCTAGGAGCCCTGAGCTGTCTTGCTTATTATCTCAATATCCCGGTACATCAAGCCCAGTTCTGAGTACGGCGAGGCTCAAAGAAGGTGGAAGGTAGATATTCAACACTGGCCAGCAGTCTTTTTTCCTTTTATATGAAGTAAAAAAAAAAAAGGAATTTTTTTTTTTAAACCACTACATGTTCACATGATGCTACTTCCATGTCTCATTTTAGGTAAGTTTATGCCAATCCGCGCGATGTTTACTCATTTTCTAAACGAGGAAAACGTGACTGCTCTCATTGGGCTTGACTCTAGCCACAAGTGTAATGAGTACAGAGCTGTCCGGTCAGCAGGACTGGCCACATCTGGCAATTTCCCGCCATCACCAGCTCTCCCAGAGGGGTCCGG